TGCCCTTCTCTGGTGCTGCTCCAGCACCTCGATGTCTCTCTTGTAGTGAGGGGCCCAGAACTGAACACAGGATTTGAGGTGCAGCCTCACCAGTGCCCAGTACAGGGGGATGATCACTGCCTTGCCACGCTATTGCTTATACAGGCCTGATGCTATTGGCCTTCCTGGCTGCCTGGGCACAAGCTGCTCATGTTCAGCAGCATCAATCAGCATCCCCACGTCCTTTTCCACTAGGCAGCTTTTTCCATAAGCTTCCCTGGCACTGAGGTCAGACTGACAGGTCTGTAGTTGCCCATATCCTCCTTCTGGCCCTTCTTGTAGGTGAGTATCACATTTCCTAACCTCCAGGGCACAGGGTTACTTAACCTCAGTGAAACCTCCATGCTAAATGAACCATCATCCTCGTTATTACTTGGTTCCACTTGTAGACCCTCATACCATTTATGTGAGGGCACCTGAGAAGATGGGGCAATCACACAGGAGATGCCTGCTGCACCTGGCAGGAACTCATCACCATTTCTCCCTACCCCTCAAGTCAGTAGTCATTTGGTGTACAGCTTAGAGAGGCCATGGCTTTCTGCCAGGTGGATACCACTGCTCCCTGCTCTCGCTGGCAGTGCTTCAACAACCTTCCTGCAAGCCCTTCTGCAAAACTGCCGCTCAAACTACCCATTAAATGGGTAATGACTGGTTTGGTAGCCAGCAGAGAATGCCTTCAGAGAAAAGATAGTATTTGAAAGCAGAGGTTACAGGCAGAACCCTCTCAAACAGATCTCTGTGCCAGAGGCTTTGTTTTGATACTAGAAACATTTCCACTACAGCAGCCTCTGATGGCAGTCATGTGTGGGATTAGGAACTGACTCCATTCAAATAACAGACAGCTGTTTGGAGTGAAAACTCGTCTCTGTCAATTTGCACTCAAAGAAGGCAAAGGCAAAAGGAAGAAAAAAAAAAAAGACCCTGGGCCTGGGAATCATTGTAGCTTAATCCCTCCTTTGGCAGGAGATAAAACTAGGGCTTTCCAATGCTCTATAATTTCTTGCATTGACCTGGAAAGAGATTTCTCTATTCACTGGGCTGTAAACCTCCTTTTTTATATTTACTACATGATGTACAAGTACTGAATCTCCAACAGAGAAAACATGCCATGTAGGGCTAGGATCCTGGGAAGAAACTTAGTCCCAGGTTAAATAACTTAGTTCAGCAAGGACACACAGTAGCTGCTAAAACCACTTATGTATGGATTGTTCTTTTAACTTCCAGGGGCAGGTTTTCTCATTCTCTGCAGGACTGGCTGAGATTTCCAGAAATGGCTAATAGTGTACAGTGGTCTGGTCTTTTGATGCCAGATTTCAAACCTTAGAGAAGGGCCTGATTTTTGAGACCATTTGCACAACTTTAACAAGAAGTCAGGTATCTCTGCGCATCCCAAGTCCCTGGTGCTTCCAGTCATTCCTCCTCTCTGATTTCCAGAAAACACAGAGGTAGAAAAGCAGAGCAGAACCTCTGCCATGCTCTGCCGAGTGCATCTGTAGACACAGCTGAGGGATGAGGTGCCCTGCTCCCATACAACACACAGGGACTTTCAGTTACCTTGGTGCTTCCTGACAGTGCTATAAACAGGCTCTTGCAAAATCTGTTTCTTTTGTTTTTCACAGGAAAAACTGGCTGTGCCAAAGGACATCACAGCAGAACAAATGGAAAGCTGAACTCAGGATTCAGCACTGAGTGTACCTGTAGTCATTCCTTTTCCCTAGTCCTCTCTGCAGAAGTACGTTTGAAAAACCAAGAGAGTAGTATTTGATCCATTAGAAAATCAGTTTTATCATGAAATGAAAAAAATCTCCTCTGGGGCTATTTGATAAGCTTCGATGGAGGTCCTTCAGCGACCTGAGTGTCATCTCAACTTTAAAGTTTTGCACAATGATATAAAAAGGAAAGGAAAAGTTCTGGCTGTGCCCAAAGGTGCTATTTTGATGTTTTGAAATTAAATTTGCTTTGGCTTCTCTTTGGGATGTAAATCTGGGTTTGAGTTTTCTCTTTCTTGTGCCACATGCTTTGTTATCAAGCTGGCCGACGCACTTCTGTTGGAGAAGTGCTGGAGCTGGTGGGTGTTACACAAGGCCCTCCAAACCCTTCACTTGCAGCCAGACCCTGTAGAAACACTCAATATCTAACAGGAAAAAAACATCCATTTCCTTGAAATGAACCATTTGGAACTGCCCAAGAAAATATATTTCTCTTTTTATTTCTCTATCTATCCATCTATTTATTTATTTGAATAAATCTGCTGGGGGGTGGCATTTCCTTTATGGAAGATTTAAGAGAAGGCAAGATTTCATACCCATGTGAAATGAAGCCAGTTCCTGAAACCCTGAAACTCTGTGAAATAGCAATTCTACCCCTGGGGGCCACAGAAGCCCATGTGGAGGGTATACCAACTGCCAGGCTATGGCCAGGAGAAACATCCTCTGTCAACAAGATTCAAAGAGAAAGAGTGTGAAGGAAGGGGATGGAGAAGCGATTTTGCATAGCGCTTTCCCTGCTTTGTTTGGATTGGAAGGCTCTTTCCCTGTGTCCCAGCAGACGGCCCTGGGATCACTTGGAAATTGTGCCCAGTTTATTCTTGTATAGAGCCGAAGCAGGGCTGTTTGCTATGGCTGGTGCCAGCGTGCTCGGCAACCTACAGGAAGGAAGGTCATGTTCTTCAAAAATAGCCAAACACCCCCTTGAGCTTGGGAGTGAGGAGACATGGATCCTATCCCAAGCCCTGTGCTCATTCTGGGTGGCCTTGGACAAGTCACATTGCTGACTGTTAGCTCTGCCTGAAAAAGCAGGATGAGGCACAGCAGAGGGGTATCACTCCCTGCTCGCAGCGATAGCAGAAGGAGCACTGCACACCAGGAGCTGCTGGTAAAACCCCTAACGGATGAAATGGGTTTTGTAGCTTTGCTTCAGCTGCCTGCTGCTGCACTGACATCAGTATCTTGGGGTATCTCTGCACTGCCCTTGGAGCGAGGTCCCGAGAGGATGGTGTATCCTGCCTGGGTGTGATTGGGAAGCTGCCACACAGCCAAGCTATAGCCTCCAGTCAGTCCTGGGATTAGTTTTGTGCTCCAAAGGCAGGAGCTTGATGTGGTATAATGGCACAAAGATTGAGGATTTCTGTTGCCCCATCTGAATTTTCCAGTACCTGCTGCAACAGATTGCATGCTGTATCATCTAGATTGCTCACACTGACAAATAAAATTACTGATCATCTGGCTGAGGTTAAAGCCTATGGCAAGATGCTCTTGTTCGTTACTTCTGGATGGCAGCTGCTATCACAAAAATGGCAGTTGGAGGAGTTCCAGGCTCATTTAAGGACCTCAACAGTAATGCTAACATTTTCTGTGTTGATGTTAACCCTGTAACCCTGCATGATCAAATTGTCCAGCCCCTCAGTGTTATCCAAAGCAAAGCTCCTTTCACGAATTTCAGAATACAGTGATAGATTGAGATGAATCACTTCAGAGGTAAATTAACAATGACCAATCTTAAATCCTTCTAGTCTGGACTTTCCTACAAAACATGGAAGGTCCCTTTGCAGTGCACAACCCAGAATGAGAACATTGAAACCACTCCTTCCTTCCTTCCAACAAAGACTGAGAAGTTTTCTTCCAGTTATCCCTCTGCCATTAGAAACTTCCCTAACACCTTTACAGGCTTTGGCATGCCCAGTGTTTCCCTCACTTTGTAAATTCTCAGGTACTTCCCACACTTACGGAAGCAGTACCCACCTGTGAGAAGAGGCTTGTCAGAGCAGGTCTTTTCTTCTTTTGGGTCCTGAACAGTTCAAAACCTAGCTTGGTTTTCTGTTTCTTTCCAACAGTACAAGCAAGTCTAAGACAATATCTGACCTTTCTCGACCACCCTGCCTTTGCTCTGCCATCCAGGTCCAGGAGAGATTGCCTCCCCTGCAACAGAGGAGATACTTGTATCTCCATTCCTCTGGGAACTCACTGAATTTAGGGATTATTGGAAAGATGTCAATGCTATCACTTTTCTGAAGCAGAAGAGTGTCAGACTTGTTATACAGATAACACGACTCACAAGAGCAGCTGAATTCCTGTTTATGTTTTTTCCAACACAGAAGTTCCAGAGTTTTAGAGTCTTGATAAAGTCATTATGGTGCCAAAAGGGGAAACGTGTAGTTCTCATGGCTGCCAGCAAACATTAAAGATAACTGCATCCAAGAGAGTGGATGTTTCAGACAACATGACAACATGTTCGTACCCTTTACTTGCATGCAAAATGTGGCTATTTGCTCTTTGGAAAATGGGTCTTATTAAAAAATGATTTTTTTTTTTTTTTGAACTCTACCACCTTTAACATGAAATGTCAATATGAAATTAAAAAAAAATAGAAACAATTTATTTTAAATTAAACAGTTTTGTGGTATCATTCTGGGGGATATTACCATTTTAAAATACGTAGATATTTTTTATTCATGTGATCTTTCTCTCCCTTTACCACTGAAAAAAATAGAATGAGTGACTTTTTTTCTCCCCAAATCTTTCTTCTTTTAGTCTGTGATGTTTGAAATGGTCTTTATGTTGGAAAGTTATAGACAAAACATGTGTGACTTCCACTCTGTAAATTCTGTAATATCAAGGACAATTTGAATATTGACAACAACGTCATTTGTTATTTTGCCTTTTTGTAACTTTTTGCTGAGGTAAAGGAAGTTTTAAGAAAAATGATCAACATTAATCAATGCATCCACTGCTGCATCAGGGCAGAGGCAGAGGCGGGTGATGTGACTTGGGGCTTTCTCTCTTCTGTACTTGTGCCAGGTCCTTTACATTGTTTTACTTGCTAAATGCTGGCTCTGGATGATTTGTGTCTGCAAGAAATTATCCCATCAACATTTAATTTTGAGAGGAAGTCTAGTCCAGCCAGAGGAGAAGTCAAGCCCACCCTTGGTATATGTTGGCTGTATAAGTTGAACTGAGAGGATGTTGTCTTCAAAGAGCTGTTTATTTACAGGGAACTTTACTAATTCATATAGTGGAGATCAAAACCTCTCTGCAGACTCTTCAAAACCACGAGACACAACTGAACTTGCCCTTGCGTTAGATTTCGGAACATTATTTTGGAACAACATGAAGGGGCAACGCTTTCGCAATACTTTCATTCCCCGTGATACTAGCAGCCACAGAGTCCTCAGTACTATAAGAGTAGATAGCATGAAGATGTGTACATAGTCTTGAGTTACAAGTACAAGGAATCATGCATCCACAAGGAAGAGATGGCTCATAAGGTTAACTCCTCACTCAAGTCTGTTTTTGGAAATAATCTCCCATGGTTCACGCTCAATTAGCTCTTCCAGATCTGGAACTGAAAACACAGAACAACACAGTTTTGCATGTAACGAAGCTGTCGGTATATATGCATCTTAATCAGCATGCCCTTGTGAGATATCATAATCCGCAGAGGATGATGTCAACAGATGTAAAGCCACCATCTTGGTCTGCAGATCTTCACCAGGTGTCTGCTGCCTTTGTCTTGTGCTCAAGTTCAGGCTTGAAGCTATGATTTAATGGTGGACTTGGCTGTGTAAGGTTTACAGTTGGACTCAATGACCTTAAGGGTCTTTTCCAGCCTAAATTATTCTATGCTTCTAGGGCTCAGTGACTACAGCCATTGTCACCATGTTGCTTTTTTACTATGAACTCGACTGTTAGGCAGCCTGTACCTTCAGCTAAGGCATCAGATTACCCTTGAGTTATCTTACAGAATCATAGAATAGTTAGGGCTGGAAAGGATCTTAAGATCATCTAGTTCCAATGCCCCAGCCATGGGCAGGGACACCTCACACTAAACCATGTCACCCAAGGCTCTGTTCAACCTGGTCTTGAACACTGCCAGGGATGAAGCATTCACAGCTTCCCTGGGCAACCCATTCCAGTGCCTCACCACCCTCACAGTAAAGAGCTTCCTCCTTATATCCAATCTAAACTTCCCCTGTTTCAGTTTTAACCCATTAATCCTTGTGTTATCACTACAGTTCCTGCTGAAGAGTCCCTCCCCAGCATCCTTATAGGACCCCTTCAGATACTGGAAGGCTGCTATGAGGTCACCACACAGCTTTCTCTTCTCCAGGCTCTTGGTTATTTCTGGCATATTCCTCTCCCCTGCATTTGGGTCACACATACAGGGGCTTGGCCATACAAATTGCTGGAGTTGCTTTGACATCTCATAATCTTAACATCACTGCAACACACCGGTAATGTTCCCTTGACTGCATTTAGCCCTTAAACTAGGTAGGACCAGCGTAAAGAGCAGAGAATTCTTCAAGCAGGTAACACCAGATCTTCCCCTAGCATGAGAGAACACTGCTCCTCTCTGGGGTTGTCAGTTGGAATAGGATTCTTTTGAGGTGTTCTTACTTCATGCATTATACACTCAAATCATATAAATGAGGACTTTCCAGCAGCCTTCCATAAAGAGTTTTCCTCTTACAGTGCTGTTGGTTTCTGCAGGATTATACATGATAACTGATGTTGCACCAGGGGTGGTGTTTGTTGACGTAAATGCTGTTATCTCCATGTTTCAGTTTCCACATGGCCAAAACCAAGGGTAGCAACACTTTCCAGACCTGTGAGTTCCTTTGAACCCTACTGCCAAGAAGAGCTAGGTTATAGTAGGTGGCATGATTAAAATGAGCATTGTTGCTCAAACACATCCCTGGGGTAAGACAAAATAAAACAAACCCCAATAAATTCATTTCTTGCATTGGAGAAAAGCCATGTTGTGGCACCCCTAAGATCACCTGATTGCTAAGCAGTTGTCATTTGCATACTTTCTAATGGAGAGACAGCTGGGACAGGGGAGTGGTTGCTAACCCATGGATCAGTGGGGCATCAGCATCAGTGGCACTGCCTCATGGACAGGGCAATGTTGATTTACACTCGTAGAATCATAGAATGGTTTGGGTTGGAAAGGACCTTAAGATCATCCAGCTCCAACCCCTCTGCTGTGAGCAGGGATGCTTCACACTAGACCATGTCACCCAAGGCTCTGTACAACCTGGCCTTCAATGTTGGCCTTTACCACTTCTTTGGAACTGTGCTTAGAAAGTCAGAAGATGCACGGAGATACCTTTTTGGTGCTCATCATCAGACATGAAAAGTAGACCCAAATTCATGTTCAGCTCCCAGTGACCACAGTATGTTTTGTGAGGCTAAATTAAGTGTATGGCAGGAACCAGCAGGACCAAAGTCCCTTTGAGCACATCACCAGGATGCCTCCCTGTCTTGTACACCCTTGCTCACTGAGATACTCCATCCTGTCAGGAGACATGCTGAAAGATGTAGACAAGCATAGAAGTTTCAAAGTTCTAAAACCGTGTGATATGAGCCCCTCACTATTGGCTGGAATGTGAAAAGAGCCTGGTGACTTACTTATTTCTCTCTTACATGTATCTATGGACTTACTGTTTTTCTTTCAAAGATTCAGTATATGGCTGCTATAATGAAATACAGCATGTATTTATTTTTCTTTCATCATCTTTCTTTTCCATTTAACTAGTACATTGAGAATCAGAGGGAAGAGCTAAACAAAAATAAACTAAAACCAAAGTGAAATTTGTTTTATTCCTATCAACAATCTGATACAATCTCGGATTTGAGAAGCCAAGCAAATCTCAGTTCATTTACCCATTTAGTTAATAATTAGAGTTCCTAAATAATAAGACATTCTGTAGCTTGAAGTCCTCATTCTGAGTATATATTTATGTTAGCAGCTAAGTATACTTTTCATGGGCGATTAAGATATTATTAATTCCCAGCTATTCACAGGCATCTCAGGAGGGAATGGGGAAAGGAGGAATTGTAAAGTCATAGGGATAATAACAGCCAAAGACCCTTTCCTCTTCTTGTGATATTGATTTTCAGAATATAAACAGAGGCACGGAATGCTGGCACTTGGTAATATACCTATTTTAAATGCGAGTTGTTGAGTAAATAGACCTCTGTGGGGATATGTTTGTTAGAAAAGTCCTTTGGGATTAGAGAATATTAGCCCGGCATTCATCCTGAGACCTGTTTTGTGAGGCATCTTTGTTACTTTGTCAGCTTTCTAAAGCCCTTTATGATAGGTCTCAGCCTTGGTGATATTTATTCAAGTAAACCTAAGAATAAGAGTTGAGATGCAGCTGTTCCAACACTGTGAACCCCTTTGGGTCTCTGTGTTTCGGCTCAATCCTGAAGTGCAGGACATCTCAGAGAAGGCTAACAAAGTATTCACAGTCAGGCCTTTAGTTTGCCACTTAGCCGTTTTCCACACTCAATACCTTTTACTAATTTAATTGTGGCCCTGCATCATTTTGCTCAGACACAAGAACTGGTGAGTTATTTACTTTCCACCAGTTCTCACATAAGGCCCTGATTTTGTAAAGGATTACTCCTAATTCTTGCTCACAGCCCTCTATTCTGCCCTTCCTCCAAGGAGCAGGGTGTTTATACTTTGGTATTTGCCAGCCAAAGAAAATAAAGTCATTCTCTGCCAAACAGGGCATCCTCTAGCTCCTTGTCTCTCTACTTTGTCACTTGGAAGAGCATTCCTAGGGTAGACTGATCTTCCCCCCCTTACTATCGAATCTGGTTATTGTAGCCGTATTTATTAACAATAGTTAATAAAAGACAACTCTGGGTTTTAGCTGTGGCTTCCATTAAGTGTAGGATTTTGCCAACTAACCTGAGTCAAAATTTACTGGTTTCATCCTGCATCAGCTAATTCAGACATGATGTAAAATCCTAAAGTGAATGTGGTCATCTGCTAACTCAGCTGTTTGTCACCAAACAGATTCTTTTTCTCAGCTTGAGTATTTTATCAGACCATTGGCATATGGAAGAAGTTGACTTTTATTTGTCCTTTGGATGTGCTTATGGTGTCCAATGTGGTGAAAACCAAAATCTGTTATTAGAATCTTCAGTAGGCCTAACTGGATGACAGCAGTATTGTACCTACTCTTTTATATATTTCACACGTTAGATAAATAAAAAGGCAAAAATACAACATTTTCATAACAAAGATCATTATCTGAACTTTACTACTATGCTATGTCACACAGTGTCTGAAAATCAAAGGAGAGCAACAGACATGGGCATCCAGAGCAACCTTGGAGGGGAAAATCAGAAAACAAGGACTCCTGTAACAACACGTGTTGCAATCACACACATTGTTCCTGTGCATCTGTCTCCCTATCTTACAGATGAAGCAAAAAGGAACCTTAAAATCTGCCAGAGCCTCCTTTTTTCAAGGATAGAAGTCTACTGAGGCTACAAATACCATTTTAGTGAGTGCTGTGGTCACGGTGAAATCCCATGTATAATGCACAAGACTAGGTAGACACTGATGATGAAATAAACAAGGCAGCCATGACTCTTAATTTCTGGGACTTGGTGTGAGGTTGACTTAATGTTCCAAGACCGTAACAAGTAGTAGGCATCATAAAAGACTGTATCCCCATTTGGAAAATATTTAGGACATGTGAAAAATAAAAGCTTAAGCCTGAGCAAATGATACTGAACTGGGGGCAAGTGGGCAGCTTCAGACGGTAATTTATTTAATCCTAAAAAAGGGATGTAAAATATGTTAGATTAAATCAAAATCAGATATCTAACTTTAAGCGTCTAGGGCTACACAAGAGGGATCTCAGCTTAAGCATCTAAATAAAACCTCTGTTTTTCCTGCTCCCCACTCGCCTAACAGGAGGCTCATGATTTCCCATGTATACATCTTATAGGTATGTTCAGTAAATGAGTACTTGGAAAGCATTTTGAACTCCGTGTGCAGAAGAAACTACCTTCCCCAGGCGTTACCATGAACATCCAGTCTCCCACTCTGTATTTGGAGAGCGTGGTTTTTCATTTCGATAGCAAACCCACAGCTGCAGCGCTGTTTGTTTCTACAGGTGGATTTGAAGTAGATGCCATCTTAATCACTGAACCTGACCGTGAGAAATCATGGACCCCTATTCCAAAGGCAAGATCTTCCACAAACACAGGGCTTGCTCCGAGAAGGAGCTGCTCTGAGCAGAACACAGACGGATTGTAAGAACAGACAGAAACCCACTGTTAGTGAAGCTAAAGAGAAAAACCTGGGCAGAATCCAGAACTTAACTCAGGTAAATAAAAAGGTACATTTCTGTGAAAAGCTTCATGAATAAGTAAAGAATCTTTAAATAAACCCTTTCTGGAGGTTACAGCGCACAGTATTCTCTTCCAGGAATGATACTGTAAGACACAAGCACTACAACTTTGGTATTTTCTCATTAACTGAACAGAAAAAATAGAGTTGCAACCCAAACCAGTTGGAGTTGGAACGGCTGTTTACAGTCTATTCTGCTCTGAGTGTGTAGCAAGCATACACTCAGATTCATTGCTCTAACCCAAGTTTCCCAAAAAATCAGGTATCGATTCCCAGCTGGTTCTTTCAACACCCTTTGTAGGTATGGCAAGAAGCAGAAGGTGATCTGCCGTGTGAGGGAGCCCTTGGCAACACAGTGAGCCCAGCACCAGCTTCTCACTGAAACTTCAGGAATTCCAGTCAGACTGCACCCTCCCCAGCTCTGGGCCAAGGCTCTGCTCCCTCATTCAAGAAAAACATATGTAAGTAGTTGTTCAACATGAGTACATGCCCGAAATTCAGTGGAAATTAGGTGGATGAGGAAGTGTGTCGCTTAAATGCATCGTCCATGAATATGCAGGGCAGCGGAAGGTGGAAAAACAGCGGTTTAGATTCAGTTAGGTTAAAAAATTAATTTGGACTTGACCACAGTCACTTTCTGTGAATATTCAACAGCTGAATGATGTGAGCATGAAAGTTTTTGCACAGCAAAGGTTCAGCTAATTTATGAAAGCATATTTAGAAGTTTAAAATGTAGCTTGTGTTCAAAATTCATGTCACTTTCAGTGACCAGAGCTGTGTGTTGCTTCATCTATGTACAGGGCTGAGCACACTGGTAAGGCTGCCAGAAAGGAGGAACAATAATTCTTTCATGAGATCACCAAGTAAATATAAGTATCATATTCATGGACTATTCATATAGCAAAAAATAACAATAATTCAGGCTCAGATCATCTCTAATATAGCTACAGCACTGCACCTCCCAAACACTGCCTGTTAATTCTGGTCGCTCTGACTATTTCTGTGCAGAATTCTTTACTGGTGTCTCTGTAAAAGAGAGAATCTTCTCTTTATGGGTTAATAGAGAGGACTGATATATAAAAATAAAGCTAAACCTTAGACTCTAAATATGTATGCAGTAAATTATTAAATTCAACAACCTCAGCCTTCATATGACTTCCTGAAAGAGGTCTCTATAGACCTCAGAGGGCCAATTCTGTCTCAAGAGTATATCTCAAATGTTGATAAAGTCTTTTTCCTCATTGCCTAACTGGTTTTGATCCATGTAGAGGTGTTTGCACTAATATAGTAATGGTTGTACTTGATGATCTTAAAGGTCTTTTCCAACCTAGTTGATTCTATGTTTTTATTCTAGTAATACACTCAGAGTTTCTGTGGTTGATAAAGACAGTGGAGTGCAGAGGGTGGATCTGATATTGGAATATGCCTCTCTATCTCCCCTTTAATTACAGAGGGTCCATGAGGGGCAGCTGAACTCCTAAACACTCTACCAGGCACTTCATTAAGATATATAAAGCAATTTGGGACTTCTCTCACAAAGACATGAACTTCGTGTTCCAGAACAAGCCAAACTTCATTTTCTGCATGCATTTCCCCAGCTCCTGCCAAATCCAAAATGACTGACTTGCAGAGGGTAAGCCAGAGAACGCAATAGCACTCGAGGGTGCTCAGTGCTAAGCACATGCAAGAGCAAGCTTGGGTGGCACCAATGTAACTCAGAGTCTTTGTTCCTTTTTCCCAAGTTTCAGTATCCTACACACACTTCACACCACATGATGCAAAACACGAGGGATATGTTCTCATAAGCGACACAAGTGCAGCATTTTTGAGTGTTGCTTCACTTCTCAATAGCCCTTGGCAGGCGGTCATTGCAGAGCAGAGGGAGTCCAGGGCAGGGAATGTTCCTTTCTGACAATCCCTCCCATCCCACAGCTCCCCCAGCACATGATACTGCCATCCTCAAGTTCTCTCTGTTTGCTGGATTTGGGGCTTTCACCCTGCACCTGGCAGGATTTTTGAGGGTATTTCTGGAGACAGTTTCCCTGACCCATCCCTCATCTCCAAGGATGGGAAGATAGCACTTTGCCAGTAAGTTTTCCTCAGGGCTGTGGTTGCTGCCAGTCAGCTTCTGGCTCCTGAGAAGGACCTTTGCCAAGGAAGATTTCCAAATACAACCTATAAAACTTAACACCACTCACTCTCACACTGCTTATCTCAGTTGTCTGCCTGTGTTTTCTAGAATACTGCATCTTCTTGATCCCTTTTCCTAGGACTGAGGCTTTCTGTTCCGAACAGAGTGCATGTAATAACCGTTTCCTGGATAAGGCTGGGTGACTTTGATATCATCCCGCTGTAACTTTAACAAAGTCAAGTCAGACAAGGCACCAAGTTTAGGCTTGGCTCTTTGAAATGCAGAAGCAAAACTTGCTTTCATAAACACTTAATAAGATTTTCTCCCTTTCTCCCTTTTATTTCTTTTTTAGCCAAACCTTTATAACACGTAGGTCAGGTCAATCCTGGGCTGAATTTCGAAGACAGCAAAACTCCACTCCCAAAATTGAACCTAGAAATGAACAGGCAGATGCCCCAGAGAGATGCCCAAGGTTGCAATACCTGTCAGGAAGGAAGCTGTGGGTACAATGTTCCCAAGAAAAATATTAAATAATTAGACATGGATAATACCGTGGCATGTCCACAGAGATATTATATTGCAGAGCTCTATAATAGAAAATATATAAACAAAATATGTGATATATATATGTACATCATAATTCAAAAGTAAATCCTTATGGGTTTAGAAAATTCTTGCTACATTCAATCCTCTGTCACCACATTCTTTTCCCATAGAGATGCTGCAAGAAACGACTTGAAGTGAGACTTTATGTACAAGGGTCTGCTATGCAGCGCACTTATACCCTGCTGCAAACTTCCTCACCAAGGTGAATCTCTTGCCATCTGTGTTTGTACTCAGAAAGTAGTAAGTTAGTTCTCTTTTAAGTGGTATATATATATATGTGTATATATATATGTGTATATATATAATGCACAGTCGCCCTACATCCAGCCAGTTCTCAATATCCAGAAGCGTTTATGTCTCTGCAAGTGATCCAGTTAGTTGGAGCTGGCTAAAAGTGCAATTCATTGAGCTGCACTGTCCTCTGTGCTTGCAACTGTGTGAACACATTGCCAGAAGCATTTCACGTCTGCACCTTATTTCAGGAGCTTTCAGTGCACATTTTCACTTGCACTGTACCCAGTTTTTATTAAAGCTTCTCTGGTTGGAGCTGAACCCATTTAACTTGATCAGGTCAGATCAATAAATTATAAGGCTGTTTCTGACAGCTCAGAAGAATGCATGTGGGAAATGTTCCTTTTTGAAGCAATCATTAGGAAGTATCCCAGACACACAGATGGAAAGCATGTGTCCATTGAAATTAAAAGGAGCTAGGGCTACGTACTCAGAACAAAACACTCAGCCCTTTAGTAGTGAAAGGCTGTTAAAAGAGTTTGGTGATGACACTCATGCAAGCTAATATCTCCATTGATGATATACACTTATTTCAAACTAATGAAATTGGGTGCTTTTATTGCTTTACTGTTTCTTGAATTCAATAACACACGAAGGAAAAATTAAATGACCTTTTTTGCCATGGTGGAGTCTCTGTTTTCAATTGGTATCTCCTTTCATTCATTTTCTTAGTGTTTAAATGCTGTTCTACCCCCCTACATTGGCAAAGTTTGGAAAAATATACAGCCTTTAGGAAAAGGGTTTCTGGTTTCCAGTCAGATCTTAATGAACCCAGTAAAAAGCCACCTTATGGAAAGATTCAGGGAATCTCTTAAGCACGGTCATATGTTCGTCCTTATTCAGAAAACCTTTTAAGCATGTGCTTAGCTCCACCTAATTGGGAATTAAGCACATGCTAAAATTCTTTCCTGAAAGAAGTGCCCTTTAGTCCACCACCTACCTGCAGACGATTGGTGTCTTCATCACTCAGCTATGTAGAAGCAACTTTTGCTGTTGCAGATGCCAAACTGCTAGATGAGCAACGGTGGAGGGCCTGTCTATCTAGGTTTTTAAATTAAAACTGTGAATATCAGGGGACTGCAGGTTTACTACTAAAACCACAGGTCAACTTAACACCAGCATAAGGAAAAACAAATAAGTATTTCCTTACAATATTGAGGGGGAAGTAGGTATGGGATAACTGATGTTTTTCTCATTTGCCATCTTTGATGCACTTAAATGTGAGTGCTCCTGAAAACAACCATTCTCCCATTTAGTGTTTGCCATAGCTATGGAATTCTGATCTATCATTATAATGGGACAAATATTTCCCATGTCCCATGCAGGGACACCCGAGGAAGTGTGCAGACCATTGTTATTCTGCATCCTCAGTTGGCTGAGGAGCTAACAATATTTAGGAGCCCAGGAGATGGTAAATGGTTCAAAATAGGTTGAGCAGCCACACCTTGCTCCCTTTTACCTTTATTTTCAAAGCTACCTGCCTCTTTTCACTGCCTGCAGTGCCTCAGATTGGTGCTTTGGGCCACTCTTGCACCCAAAGGGTCAAATCTGAAATGGCCCTTTCCTGGACATCCATGCTTATGAACCCAGCTATAGGGGAGGTGTTGAGTTTCCCCAGCCAGCCAAGGCCTGGGTATTTTTCCCCACCTGCACACCTCAGGGGAACAGTAAATCCATCATTAGTGCCATTGTGCATATTTCAGCAATAAAGTACTTAATGCACTGCAGCAGAAATGTGAATCTAATGGCATTAAAATCAGTTTGTTGCAGAAGGAGCTGGCAGCCTGCCCTGCTCACTGGAACAACCAATTGACATCAGTTGTACTTGCAAATGAACGAGTCCCTCCGCCAAGTGCTCCCAGAAGCCTGAGTATGAGGTGTAGTTGTGAAATGTCATGTGGGAAGGTTATCGATGAGTTTATCTTGGAAAAAAACACCAAAATACCAACATCTTGTAACCTTTGGCAATATTTTGGAAAACATTTTTCTTGCCCACTCAAAAGGTTTTTGGAGCCATTTTTCCAAAGCTGGAGGCCATCTTATTCGTGGCAGTTGGTGGTCTAGAGGGCTTACAATCTGCAGAGAGTAAGCACTAAGTTGTATAAAATAACAATGAATTAAATCCATATGGGATAGCAGGCAAATGTCACTTCTTGGATGCCTGTCGTAGGAATCTCCAAATTAGGCAGGACACTCCAGGTGACTGAGGTTAGCAAGTGTGCAATGAGAACAAAGATAAGGCATTGGTAAAATAAGCAGAATGAGCAATAATCTCAGAGCCAGACCACTTGTATTGACTGTTCACAGGGATAGGAATTAAATTGTCCTTCCCAATATCTGTGGCATTTCAGTTTGGAAAAATAATGGAGTGTGTCCTAGATCAAGAGCAGAATGTCCAAAAATACTGTTACTTGTGAGCCCCTAGTCTTCACTTCTCACACTGTGCATCTCTGGCTTCCTCTACTTCATGTTCTCCATGAGCAGAGCCTCACGTATTCCTTGGAATGTAAGAATCTGGCACCATTAAGGCTCTTACTTTTTCTGAGGTCAAAAGAAGGGGAGTTTGATTAGCACAGGCAAGCCTGAAAACCCATATCCAGTCCTTCATATGAGATGTGAGCTGTGCCTTCCACTCACTTCTTCTTTGTGGAAAGGAGACACTGAAGATCCTGAAAATAAATATCTTCTGCAAATGATGGGTTTAAAATGCTTTTTAAGGTTTAGATATGCAAATCTGTCACTAGGCAGCAACTGAGCTGCATTAATGCATAGTGTGTGCTTCCTAAGGCTGCTGCATATGACAGCTTAAATACAGTGGTTTAGGACTCTTGCTGAAGCTTAAACTGATGAGTTTTACCTCCCCTTCCCTGCAGGTTGACAGCATAGTCATTGCTGTCAGCTGTGCCTCAGCTGGCATGTTGTGAGCTGGGAGATGCAGCAGCTTCACTGATTATTACTACTGGACATAACTACTTGATAGGGGTTTTCACCAGTATCTTAGTCAGGATTCTCTGGACCCTGAATTTGGGGGACAGACACTGGCTCCTGGATATGAAAGAAGAAAGTACTTCAGAGAAAAGAAACTCTTTCAAGGCCCTTGCAAGCCCATCTTTGGGAATTTCAAGATCAGCATTCAAACTTTCCATGAGCTTCAAAGGGAACCTGCAAAAACATCTGTCAAAGATGCATGGCAGCTTAAACTCACAGCTCCAATAGACACCAATAGCCAAGGCTCTCCATCTGGCTCCTAGGAGATAGTCACCTTATCATCTCAGTCCCTCAAGGTCCTTCCCAATACCTCTTTTCTCTACAGGTGCCTTATACCTTTTCTTTCAGAAATGACTTATGATACATTCAGCAAAGCAAGTGTTGCCTATTTCTGTTTAGCTTTGAAGTCTGCTGCTTCTATTTCAGACTTGAGGGAGGTCTTGTGCACCCAAACACTTGTTTAATTTTTCCAGCTGTACCATATGGTCTAATAAAAATGAACACCTCATTGGGCTAATCTCACCCTGTTGTCCTGTAGATATTCACAGTGCTCTATCTGGCTGGATCAGAAAAACCTGCGCACCTGTAACAAGTAATACACTACCCAGAGCAGGTGTTAAAGATTGTGTCTCTGTGATTTATTACCAAGCTCATGCAGCAATCAAAAATTAATCCTTTAATGTATATATACAGTTTTCAAAACAAAGTGATTAAAGAGGTCCTTGACTGTTGAACCACATGGTGGGGAAGGGTGTTGGGAAGCCATCTAGTCTTTATCTGTTTGTCCAGTATCTGTTATAAGCAGGTCATTCTCCATAGGTTTGCCTGTCCTGCCCATGAAACCCTTTGGTGACAGGATACATGCAGCCTGCCCAAACAGCCCAGAGCAGTACAGCCTTGTCTTTTTCCTTTGAAAGACTGTTTTAACCTGAAAATATGTGTTGAGTCTTTATTGACCTAATTTGAAACTACAGCTTTCCACAACCACCGCTGCAGTTCTCAATGTGTTTGCACAACACTCATTTAATGTAGACCTTTACTCTTCTTTGTAAGTTAAGCAGTCCCTTTTCTTCCTTCTTTTTACTGGGAGAAAAAAGTCTTACCCATGAGGGACCTGAACCCACGATTGCACACTGGGAGATCAATATCTCATGCATGAGACCACTGGGACTGCTACACACAGTTTATGACTCAGATTAGTAAAATCTGTTAACATTCTCTCTATGCCAAACTCTCTTCTACAGAAGCTACATTCTTGGGCAAATATTCATGTTTAGTAGTGGAGGGAAATTCATGTCATCATCAGAGTGAGTCAGTTTGGTGCATCTTAGCAGAGGTGGCAGATCACTAGAATACACTCTATGGACGGGTTTAATGCTGACAGTATAAATAGGACACCGATACGGATATCATTCCTTTTAATGTTGCATAAGTGAGAGAAGGTGATCTGCACATTTCTACAATCAGGGAATGTTGTCCGTTTCCTGGTTCTGGAGCCAACTCTGCATTTAAATTCCAACCATATTGTTGCAGTTCATTAATTTTCATCGAGTGAAGCTGTTGCAGTGCCACACAGGGAAAATATGTAGCCCAGATGTGTTTGCTGTTATGAAATAGCTTTTTTTAGAAATAGCTGTAAAATAAAATAACAAAAACACTCCAAACAATCCATAGTCAGACTAAAATTAAATCCATCTCACTTTGGTTGGTTGCAGAGCTTTAGTGTTAAACTTGGGAACATTCCTGCCACCTATTTGCTACATAGTTAGAGTTCACTTGAAGTCTGGTGGAATTTCACTCTTATTCCAAGGGACGTCAGTTGCAATAAATGACTTTCTTGGACCAAAGAAAAGCTATTCCAAAAACTAAACAACAAAGAGCAACTATGCTACAAGCATCTGAGAGGGGTCTAGCTTGCTCAGCTTTTTATGGATGGCATGAAACTCCCATTAAAAGCAGCTCTAGAGCATTTGCTCAGAGGAACTTGTCCTATAAAGTGTTCAGCTTGTTGAAGTTATTCTTTCTCTCTGTGTCACTAATTTTGAACAGCAGGATAAAGGCAGTTGGAGGACACCACCACAGCAGGCACAGAAATACTTGTCAGAATAATTCCCTGCATTAGGAGGATGAGCTAAAAAGGCACAGGGCCAAACCTGGTTTGTATTAATGCCCCTGCTAGCACGGGACTTAACAGAGAAACACCAACGATGCTTGAATGTGGTCCTTCTGTCATACAGCTGTCCCCAGTACACCAGCAAAGCCAAGACAAAGGCTGTTTCCAAAAATGAAACTGAAAATTAGCCACTCCCTGCCACAATTTTCTATTAGAATTTGTTGCGTAAAGGAGAAAGATGTGAATAGCTTTAGGTGCCTCCAAATCTGGGATATCATTATTGTTTTATGTGACTATAACATGTGTATCAGGTTTTGCCTTCTTTTAATAAGAGAATGATTATGATCTAATGGAATTTCCTTTACAAATTTCTATTCTTCCCTTCATCCAAAAGTATTTTTATATCCCTAAAAGGTGAATTGCATCTTCCTCAAACATACATGATATAGTCTATATATTTTACAGACACCTACATGCTAGTAATAAGCATGCACTTACATGTGGTGAGACACTGGACCAGGTTGCCCAGAGAAGCTGTGCCTGTCCCATCCATGGAAGTGTTAAAGGCAAGGCTGGACAGGGCTTTGAGCAACCTGGTCTAGTGGAAGGTGTCCTTGCCCATGGCAAACAGGTTGGCACTAGTAGATCATTAACGCCTCTTCCAACCCAAACCCTTCTTGGATTCTATGATTCTGTAATATGTATGTAACTGCCAATTAGTATGCAGTTAGCATGGGAAACAGAAAGCAAGTAGATTTTTATGTCAGCATTAGTATGCTTACTTGATAGCAATTCAAGCTTAATATAAAATACCGTATTAGACACCACCACACGTAGCAGGGATAAATTTATTCTACCAAAAGAAAGCTGTCCGGGTTCCCTGGTGTAGATGACATCCTTTCTCATACTGTTTCATGCCTTTTTTGGGGGGGGTAAAGCTTCATTTGATGCACCTTGGCAAGTGCATTCATTATGATCCCATTGACTTTAATAGAGTGGTGACAGTTTCCATCTGCAGAGGATGCATCCCAGGAGAAACTTCTTTTAGAGTAAAGTGTTAGTGTAGCCAGAGTTTATCAGGAAAACCTTCATAAGGTTGGAACCTAATGTATGTATTGCATTGATTTTCTGCTTCACTGAGTGAACCGAGCGACCACACTAAACACAATTTTTTCTACAGTATCTGGAACATACTTAGCTGTGTCATCAGAAGTAATCTCTAATAAAATGGAGACTTTACCACAGCTATTAAAAAGGGAGCAATAAAGCTGAAAATCTTATGAGGTGGTGAAATAAGTGGTCATAATTTGTTTTTTATGAGAAGACAACATAGTGAAGATGGAGCCAGACCCTTCCTAGAGGTTCACAGTGGGCAAGAGGCCATGGGGACAACTTACAAGAGTAGAAATTCTAGGTAGATATTAAGAAATCAATTTCCAAAAGAGGGTAGTCAGATATTTGAGCAATTTGCCCAGTGAGGTTGTGCAATATCCATCCTTGGGGATATTCAAAACTCAGCTGGAATTTGTCCTAAGTAACCTGATCTAAGCAAGTGGCCAGGCTGTAAGATTTGCTAAAGTCTCTTCCAACACATATCATTCTGTTTCCATGACTCTGTGATAAGATTTACGTAGTTCACGATAGTGAAATAGCTTTGCTGTATTCTAAATTCTTAGACCAAATTCTCTGACAGGAATGGAAAAGCCACGAGAATTCCCTACTTTCATTTTTTTGTCTGAAAAATGGAAACTAGAACATCCATCTAATCACAGTGGCATTTGTGTAGTGTGCGCCATCATTGTCTGCCAAGTGCTTCAGTCCTTAGAGGACTAACGTCATACTCAAACACATTACAAATAGCCATTAAATGGCAACACTGGAGCTGGTTTTTAGAAATAATACTCAACCATTGTCAATTGGGTTTTAATTCCTGAAAATGTGCTTTTAAGCATTGCCTAAAGAGCTAGGACAGGCTACAGGTTGCCTGTGACTTGTCTGTGAAGTTTGTGTTACTCAGAAGAGGTGATTTTCATGCCTTTACATGCCCCATTACATCAAGCCTGCTTGAAACCCAGTGTGAAAGGTTTCAGGTGCCAAATGAAGCCAAGACC